TAATTACCTGCATTTTGAAATTGTGAAATAAAAGAAATATTAATAATAAAACATTTATAAAAAAAATAAAATAGAACAAAATGAACTTATGTACACATAAGAAAACAAACTTCAAAGTTGAAACAAACAAAAATCATTGAACAAAAACAAGTTAATTATAAAAAAACAAAATAAAAACAAACTTCAAAGTTGAAACAAACAAAAACAACTTAAACGAAAAATAAGTATGACAGTTTATTCCATTGAATCTATTTTTTTAAGTATTATTTCGGGTATGACTTTATCATACCTCGTTTTGATTTGAAAAAAAAAGATTGGATAAATTGCCACACATTTACACTTTGCTCGGGATATTTTAGGTTGAATAAGAAAAAAATTTTGAAGCAAACTTCCAGTCCTTTTAGCAGAGATCGGAATTTATACTTAGTGCCATCCCAATATACTAAAATTTCTTCTGGCGTTTCTATTTCTCCAATAATTATTATCATTGGTTGAATGGTTGCATTTTTATTTTTTAATTCTTCCAGTTTTATTAGTACATTTGCTGCTGTTTTTTCTATTAAGAAGAATGAGGCTTGGGAATCTCTTACGGTATATTTTATAACTGTTTTCTTCCCCGTCAAGTTTTTAATTACATTTCTTGATGTTGGCTTCAGGAAAGCATGTAGATTCCACAACAAATAAAGATTTCTTCCTTCTAAAAAATAAAAAAATAATCAAAACAATAGGAACAATTTGTGAAGATCTAAAAAGAATTATTACGCCAATTTAAGATTGTCGTATTTCTATTTTTAATTCACTTACCTTCAGACTTTATGTCTTCAATTTTAAAAGAGTCCTTGAAATGTTCTTTAAATATTACTGACGCTTTCTTGAAGAACTCAGGCCAACATTCATGAATGCTTTTGCTGTTGTTAGGCATATACAATTCGTAATCAATTTCAATCTGAAATAATTGCGAATTATTTGAGAATATCTAATAAATATTGAATCTTAAAGTACATACCAGACGATAACCTAGAGGTTGATTGTAGTGCCTCCAATTATTTTGAATTAAGCCGTCCGCCTCTTTAATGCTTTTTAGACTCCCTTGCCAAGTTTTTCTCCAAATATTCTCTACCTGATCCCAAGGTAGTTCTTCAGTGTTTAATCTCTGGACTATTTCGTCGTAATCTTCTTCGGCTTCTTTGATTCATAAAAAAAATTACAATGATATATTAAGTTAGTCATCAAATTATCAATTAATATTCATATAGATGTGTATATGTTATAATTTTATCTAAGTTTATGAAAATCCTCGACTATCCTATATTTTTCTTTCCGGGTGCATCGACTTTCTTTGGGGACAATCCAAATATTAGAATACCATAGACTTGTACTAGGTCTGATAATGCATTGTTGTAACATCGTTTTAATTTGCTTTTGAATTTCTTCTTTCAATACAAAAAAGTAGCGAAATGATTTTGAATATACCTGAAGTTCATCCTTGGTGTTTATGTTGTGCTTAATTTTGTTGGTGAATGTTAAGGGTTGTCTTTCTCTATAGAAAATGTTACTATATTTTTGAGACAATCTCAAGATTTCTTTCTTTTCTTCCGAGTTCAAATGATCCGTTCTCAACAATCCTTCGATACTAATTTTTTTTCATCTTGTATAGGAGGATAATAGATATTATATGTATATGTCGAATCGTTTGTATTTGGGGCGTTTACTTTAGACATAATTAATACTACTTATTGGTTTATTAAAATAATCGTCTCTCACTTTTACAATTAATAACTAATAACTAATTTTATTTTAATTTAAATAACTAAGATTATTTAAAAGATTGATACTAACAATCCGGAGCCAGCGTTCACACGTCTTTACGATAATTTGCTCTCTACCGCTCTGCACTTATTTTTTCCAATCATTACCACCACCGGTGGTTGCAAGGGCGTATCAATTAATTTTTGTTTAGTCTACATTCCTTTCTAAAACTAACATCCCTGTGGGAACACTTTAAAACTAAGCCTATGTAACGTAATACGACCACTAATAATTTTCGATAAATCATAAAACTATTGTAAACAATGCTTAAAATAATGACGCATGCATTAAAATTATTCAATGTGTGAATGACGGGAAAAATTACATAACCTGATTTAAAAGGTAGACTAAGTTTGACTCACCCTGGAAAAAAATTTGTAATTTTGTCGAAATGTAACTAATTTTTGTGAAAATAGACCATTTTCAAAAAGTGCTGACAAAGAAAAATTCCCATTATCTAACACAGATTCTGATATACAGGGCCTTGAAGTCATGACTATTTGAACATAAAAATGGCCATAACTTTTTGAATACTCAGTATAGTCATATGAATTCTTATATTGAGAAACTAGTGAAAACGAGCTGAAATCGAATATGAAATAAAAAATACTCGTATATCATTGCCTTTAAAAAAAACGTTTGTTACGAGTATGTATATAACTGAGTAAATGAGCTTTACCGCACATTGGAACACCCTGTATATTGCAACATGGGCATTTATATGAATTGAACAAAGAAAGATTATTAAAATGACAGTTGTCAGAGTAAAAAGTTGCAATGATCACAATATCACTTTTTTGTTTATAAGTGTCTAATTGAAGTTGTCTTTGTTGCACCCATAGCCTATGTTGCAATGAAAAATGGAGCAATCTATATGTATGAATAAACGAGATTATACAATTTTGAATTAAAATTTTACATAACTGTTTTTCTCATTTTTTTAGAAAATCTACTTTCGTCACGTTTTCTTTTTTTAATTAATACTCCAGAGATTTTTAAAATAAGATATTTTATTCTCACAAATACCCTTTGTCGAACAAATGGAAAAAATTAATTTGTTTGCGATAAGTGGTTCTTTTTTACTTATAAAATTCGTTGTACGATTTACAATCTTTGTTTTAATTTTTAATTTTAAATTTATGAATTTTAATGAACCACTTATTGTCACGCGTTCCTCGCGTGGGGATCGTACCTCAAAGGTGTTACTCGCTTGGTAATGACTTTAAATTAAAACAGGGCGTACAAGTAATAATATAATTTATTTGGATTCTACAAATGACAGATATGTGGTGCAAACAAATAAAAAAAAACTATGAACTACCTACCAGCAACCCCAACATATCATCTCTGCCGATCGCTACTCGTACTACCAGGAACCGTATAATGTCCTTCACCTCGAACACTTTGGCCTTAGCCGAAATAACTATACTTTGACACGCCCGAATACACGAAAACACTCGAACTCCCGCTTTCCGTCGGTACTTCTCTAGTACCTTTAGTCCGCTTATCGGACTCTACAGAGCGCGAGTCAAATCGAGAGAGCCCCGCTGTTTTCGTGTGCCGTTTTCGTTTTCGTTTTCGTGCATATGTAATACGCCGACCAGCATTCGCGATTGCCTATTCAACATTAATATACTTAATGTAAACAGATATTGTTTCTGTTTACATGCGAACAATTATTAAATGTTACATAAATTAATTAATGTGCTGCAAATATTATGAACGTGAAGTTTCTTGATTACATCCCCGATCCGTGATGATATCCAAACGTTCAACATCACTTCGCCATGAAGATGAGGGCTCAGATAAGCCACCAAACGAAAGGCTTTGTATGATGGCATGATGGCATTGCATAAGAATGAAGGTTTTTGGCCTCAGTGTAGGTACCAAGTTCTGGAAATTCTTTTTGATGTTTTTTAGTCAGATATCCAGCTATATACATATATCAAACCATCTTTTTCAAAAATTGAAAACTTTTTGTATAATTTGCTTTAAAGAATCACTACTAGCTTGTTTGAATGCATTAGCAAGTACAAACTCTTCTTGTTCTGTCTCCTTCAGCTGCTGAGAATTGGGATTTTTTTATACCATCCCTGGGTTTTTCCCGGGGATGGTTATACTATCCCCAGAAATCGATATATACTATTAAGGGGAGCAGGATGGTCATGTAAGCCTCTTGATCTAATCTGAAAAGTTTAAAATATTTTTCTTGAATTCTATTAACATTTAATAAAATATAAAGGGTATTCAAAAAAAGTGTCACAAAATGAAATGGGTGGTAGTATGGTCCAAAATGTGCAGAAATATCTGAATAAACAGCGGCAATTTTTTTTTTAAGTGGCAATTTTTAAAGGAAAAAGGCCAGTATCATGAGATGTATCGACATTTAAAATAAACGCTCAGACACTTCAATTTTAGTTTTTAAGGGGACACTTTCATGTCCTAATTGCAGCAATTACGCATTAACCCTCGAGGGGTGGGGGTAACAACCCTTACAATTTTAAAAGGAAAGTACCAAGTGTTGTACATTTTTGAAAAGATAATTTTATGGAGAATTCAGCAATACCAACCGCTACATTGATTAGTAATTCAGTGCAATAAATAATATTACCAGGGTCATGTATCGCATTTTTTAAAACTTAAATCAACTTAAATCGCACCTTTTTGTTTTATTCAATTTCCCAGATAATT